TAAAACATCTTTAACGAGTATCCAAATAAAAGTAATCATTTATACATTCAGATGTAAAAATTTTCATGTAAAATTTAAATTAATCCCCCCTTCCCCCTCCCCCCCAATAATAACAATGATTGGTGGAAAATATTACTTTGTATTTTTTTTATAAATAAGTGTTATTTTTTGCACTAAAGGTGGTTTATCAATTAATTATATGATAAAAATATTAAAAATTAAAACAGGAAAACTAAAAATGTGTTAATTAATAATGAACAATAATATCGGCAAAATTTTATAATGTTCTGATACTTGAAAATACTTTACCAAATCGATATAAGGAATTGTTTAAAATCTTTGGTTTGGCCATATAAATTTTTGTGATAATAATACACTTATCGAGTAAAACTTTTTAAAAAATGTATAAAAATAAGTCATGGCTCCTAAACAATGTTAGTGTCTCGTCTTATTTTTATTATTAATATTATGAATTCATGTTTTAATAATAATAATGCTGTGTAAACGGTTTTAAAGTAATTAATAACCTCAACCTTTTTCAATAAAAATTATATTTCTCTTGAAATGATTCAGTTTTAAATATGTAAAAATATATATTTTTCCTTAAATATACATATTATCAAATAAAAATGTATGTGAAAATTTAAAAATGATATATATACGATATTACGATTATATTTTAATCAAATGATTATTATATACATAAAAAATGATTAAATTTTACGATTAAAAAGATTTTTTTATTTTTGTAAATTATTATGAGTGGCACTGAAAGCAACTTATTCACTTGATTATTATATCATTTTTATAAAATAAATCACCTTTTGAAGCAAGGTAAGCAATCATTTGAAAATTCAATTTAATTTCATTTTCAAAATACTGATTTTCATTATATATATACTCGATCCTTTGAATATATACTTATTTAATTAATCGAAAATTAAGTCGTCTTAGGTTTGTTTTTAGATTTTTTAAGTTTTTTCAAACCGTCTAAATTACCCTTCAAAAGAATACAATATGCAGCTTGAAATTTTGAAACATCTTTTTGATGTATCTAAAACAAATGAGATAATTTTCTGTTATTTATTAAAAAATTATAATATTGCGAAAAAATTAAAAACTTACAACTGTGCTTATTTTTTTTGTTTTATATGTTGCTCTCATTAAACAATGATATTCTGAGGGAGGAGGTAATGGCTTTTTTCCTTCACGTGGAATAGGTGTAGTTCTTCCATCATCTGCAATTCATATTATAGGATATAGAAACCAACTTAAATGAAACATTCCTATGCATTAAAATGATAATTTTTGTCAATTGTTATTCAATCAATTATTCATACATGTTGATTTAACTTACATCGCTTCATAGTGAGTGATACCGAACCTTTAAGTCTAGATTTTTGAAAAAATTTTGTTAATTCCGTTAAAAACTGAAAAGAGAAAAATTTAAAATCATTAGTTAAGGTTACACGTTTTGTAATATTCGAAAGTACATCACAAAATCACTTACAGCTTCGTTACTAAGTAAAACCATATTGAATATGTAAAACTTAGTATCACACGGCCATAACAACAGGTAACTTAACTTAATAAATAACCTATTACTTTTAATTAATAAAGCAAAATAATGATAAATATATAGGTTTTTATATTAACATTTTAAATTCGAAAAAAAAAATTGATGTATGGCTATTAAAACATTATTTAGAATTTCAAAACAAGTAAGCAATTTTTTTTTTTTTTAAATTTGTCGGTTTATTATTCTATGGATATTGAAAGCGTTTTGCCTCGTCACATATTTTACCTCTATGGACTTTATTATTATAAAGTATATTTGACGTTATTAAAGGATTACATTTATCATGTATTAACTTTTAATAAATTTTCATAAATAATTAAGTTATAATAAAATGCAAAATCGTTTTCATGTTATTCTGAGACTTCATAATGAGCTTTCAACCCCTTACAAAAAATAATATGGATAACTATATAGAAAATATATTAGCTGAAGTAGTTTATGTTTTATTTAAAAAATAAACAGGTATTTAATTTAATTTAATTTAATTTTTTTTAACTTTTAATGTTTCTTTTAGAATTTAACTTTAAAAAGACAACTAGAGAGTAAAAGTGAAGCTTTATTAATTTTAAATAAAGAATTAGCGGAATGCAGATCGGAAAGAGATCAATTCAAGTTGATGGCTGAAAAATTACAAGAAAAATGTTCAACATTAAAAAAAAATTCATTTAAAGAAAGTAGTTTATTTAATGATAATTATGATGAACCAATCTCTCCAACAAGCTCCGATTCCAAAGATGTTAATCGTTCTTTAAAGTTTGAAGTCGATTGTCTGAGACAGAAATTAAGAGATGCATTAGGTGATGTGAAGGTAAAATAAATATGTTATTTGTTTTTATGAAAATTTACCCTTATTTAAACAAATTTTTTGTGTTGTCCATAATTATTCAAAGTAATATAAGGAATTAAGAATTTTCTTCTACGATTTTTCAGGCGCTTAGAAATCAGCTTAATGAGCAAAAATTAATGCCTGTCGGTATTGATTCATTGTCGTTAAAACATTTGGATAAACAGGAAGCTTTGGTAAAACAAATTGAAGCCATGCACAAGTTAAAAAATCAATTAGAAATTGATTTGCAATCTGTCATTGATGAAAAGGAAGAACTTATAACTCAAAGAGATGCTTATAAATGTAAAGTGCATAGGTTAAATCATGAATTTAGTGTTTTATTGAAAAGTTCTAATCATAGTGTTATTGATATTGATTCTTTAATTATGGAAAACAGGTAATTAATTTAAAAACTTATACTTACTCTATTTTTTAATAATTTGTCCAATTTATTTATTTTTTTTCAATTTTTTAGATTTCTTCAAGAGCACTTACAGCAAGCACAAGAAGAAATTAATCTTGTTAATCAAACTTCTAATAGATATAAGGTAAAATATTTTTGTTATTCATAATTAATAAAAAGTTTTACTAATAACTTTTACACCCATTGCCATACTAAACCAATAACCTTAACTTATTTTAAGACTTAAAAAAAATGATTGACTGCATATTAACATTATCCTTTTTAAATTACTCTAACTTTTTTAAACTAACAGAGCCTGTTGGAGAAAAAACATAATAAAGGTGCCATTAAATTAGCCCTGGAAAATCTTTCAGGAATTTCTCTTTCCCCCGAGCAAGGTAGGCTTACAAAGTATATGACAAAAAAAAAAATTGACTTTTTTTTGCATTTCATTATTTTATTTTATTTTTTCCAGTTCAAGAATTGTTTGAAACCAATTCTACTGAACAAATTCCAAATAGTGTTGCAGCAACAATCAGTGACTTGAAATTCATGTGTTTGGCTTTGTTGGAATATTCGAATGATAAGATTTTGGCCCTTTCGCACCAAAAACGAGCCAATAGAATTTTAGCAGCCCAAATTTGCGAGTTAGAACACAGGGTTGAAAATTTACAAGGATCTCAATTAGTCATGTTTCCATCTCAGGTTCTTTTAGAAGGTTATTTAGATTCAGATGTTAAGGGTAGTAATATAAGTAAACAATGCAGTACTGATAGTTTGGATGATAAAATTGAAAAAGAAGACAAATGCAAAAAGGAAGATTTAAGTGAAAAATAATTGCTATACTATTCCATATGTAAATATGTTTTAATTAGATTTTTAAAATAGTTTTTAATATTTTTAAAAACTACTTTATCCAGAGATATTTTATAAATAAATATGTATTGAACATGGTGGTTACCCTTTAGTATCTCAGCTTTATGTATACTATTAATTATTTTATAATGTTATTTATTACATGCTTATTCAAAAGAGGTATTCAATAAACTTTAAATTTTTTAAATATAAAAATTGTATCTTTTCTAGGTTTTTTTTTTTGCCCCAAAACTTATGTAAATTATCCTGTGTTCATATACAAAAAACAAGCAAATAATATTGTTTTCAAAACAGTCTTTTATTTTATAATTTGATCACTATGCTAAAAGTTTGTTTTTTGCCGAAAATGCCAAGTACCATACTAACACTGCAAGTACAGCTGCTATGAATTCAGAGTTTACCCATGGCCCTCTGTAAGCACCTGGGAAATTAAGTGAAATTGTGACTAAAGGAGTGACAGATGATGTATCTTCCCCATTTCTCATAGCTTTTCTCAATAATGCATATCCTTCATCATCATAAAGAGCTACTTTATAATCTCCAGAACTAACTCTAGCAGGATCATCTACCCAACTGACTTGGTATCTATCTTCTTCATTAACTCTCACAGCTGAAAGTGAAAAAAGAAAGTTTTACATTAGATATATGAAAAAAACTTAAGAGACAACTCACTAGTTTTAATAAATTACCTGGCAATGTTTTTCCATCGACTTCAGCGTGCAATGGTACGCCTTTAACCCCATTTCCACATTTTAATGTAAATTCCGTGATAAATGCAAGATTTGTGAGAACAGTTGCATCTTGAGTCGTGTAAGATGTTGCAGTCACTTCAGGTCTCACGCAAGATTGACCACAAACAGTGGAAATAATTCCTAAAAATAAAAAACTGAATGCAATATAGAAATCCATCTTCTTTTCAATACTATAACAAACTGACACTCATACAACTCACCGTACACGTTGTAAATAGCAGACAGCAAGTATTATTGAATAATAGCAAAAAAAGCAAAATAATATGTTATCTATTTAAAATATTTTTTTTAATTTAGGAAAAATAAAATTATAATTACTTTTAAAAGTATTATAATTAATTTAATAATTCACTAAAATAAATGTCATTTGAACATTATAAAATTTTTTCATAAATTGTAATAATTTTGCTATCGTTTATATGTTTGATAATCAGAACTCACAAAAACGGTTATTAGCGCTAAAAACTAAGCGTGGTATTTCTTTTAGCGTTAGTTACAATTTACACAATTTTAGATTTTAGTTTGGTTTTAAGTGGTTTTTTTTTTATTTTTCCAACGAAATAATTTTGTATTCGATTACTTAAAACAATGATTCGTAAAAGTAGTTTCTGCAATTTTTATTTAAGTTTTTATTAAATTTTAAATACTTTATTTCTATACATGTAATTTTTTTTTACTGCATTTATACTTATTATTTAAATATGACTAAAGAGAATAATTGTTTTTATCATTCTGACATATTTGAGAATATAGATCTTGAAATTGCATCAGTTTTAAGGAAATGTGTAAGTTATATATATTAATTAATTAATTTGATTTAGGTACCGTTTGATGTACTTAAAAATTTTTTTTTCTTATGCAGAATAATGGCAAGACATTTGACAAAATCAAGACAACCGATAGGGAAAATTTTTGGAAAAACTTATTGAGAATTATTAAAACAAACTACATATTAAAAAATAATAATGAGAACTTTAATATTGTTAAGGCTTCACTTGAATTACTTTTGACTGTTTTTCGAAATAGTCAAATAAATTTTGAAAATGAAAAATCATTAGTTGAGATAATGAAATATCTTAATAGTCAAAATTTATTAAACGATGAAACAACTTTGAGCAATTCCATAATTAAACTTAATGAATTTATAATGTCAAAAGTTCATTGGAATTTGGGTATACCAGAATTGGAATATCAAACCTTACAATATTTATTAAACTTGTGTACATCTGAAAAAATTTTGGTTAGTATTATTTATTATTTTAATTTTTTCAATTTTTAAAACAGTTTAAAGTGTTATTTTTCAAATTCAAATTTTTTATTTTTTAGAAAACCGATATTCATAGATTGAATTCAGTAAGAAAAGGAATGACTTCCGCTCCATTTGAAAATTCAGCGACATCATTAAAACCTCTTCTTATTAAAGTTGTTGAATCGACAGCTTTCGTTGAATCGGAACATGGTCAAAAATTCATTGCTTGGTCATTGTTGTTATCTTCTAAACTTATGTTGGTATGTAAGATTTATTAAAAGTGTTTTTCCAAATCTAAAATGAAATGCATTTAACAAAAATTTAATCTCTAATCCAATTTCCTTTAGGATATTCATAAAACCATTATGCTCGAATTAAGTCTTTGCAATAAGAAGAAAGCAGGATGGTATGGCAAAATTTATGTAATAGCTTGGCATAATGCTGTAGATGATGTAAAGTCTGCTTTGGAAAAGTCTTGTCTGCAGCATTTAATGGAAGCATTTTTTAAAGAACATAGAACTTCATTGGAACTAAGTAAATGTGGAAAAAATATTCTCACAGTTTTAGATGTATTACATTCTGAAAGAAAAAAGAAAAATCCAGAATTTGTAACTATGATTACGGAAGCTTATCAACCTATATTGTGGAAATATTTGCAGGTAAATCTTTTTAAAAATATCTTTTTTCGATTTTTAACAATTAATTATTTTTTTTATAAACAAAGTTCTTATTGTGAATTTACATTTTTAGAGTGGCTTTAATATGCATAGGTGTAATGCTGCAGATATTTTCTACAAAGCATTTCCACTACAAAGAACAAATGATAATGCAATAAGTGCTGAAACTCTATTTAATTTACAATATGAAACAATGCTTAATACCCTAAGCGATGATTGCCATATTGTCAGAATAATTGCTATCAGAGTGAGTACAATCCTTTAAAGTAATCAAAATTATGTAAAAGCAAAATTAAATAAGTAAAATTAAATTAAATTGAAAAATTTTAGGAAGTGTGTAATATTCTGGCTCATTATTGGAATTCTTTCACTCCGCATCAGATCCAAAGTTTGTTAAAAGTAATAACGACAAAAAACGCACACGATTTATCTTCTGCTGAGGCTAGACGAATGGTTTATATTAGTCTTCAAAGTTTAGTTAAAAGTTCTTTATCCTACGAGTATATTAAACAAGTTTTGCCCAATATGGGTAATAATATTCACGACGTCAATCAAAAAGTTCGAATAGCTTTTATTCAATTACTCATTTGCGTAAAGGACAAAAGCGATTCAAAATTTAAATATACCGATATAGTACCCATGATTCATATACAAAATAGATTAGCGGTAAGCAGACATATTTAATTTTATTAATCTGTAAAATGATTAAGCATTAAAAAAAAAAAAAAAAAATCTTTATTATAAATGTTTGCATGTAAATGTTTCAGGACGATAACGCATCCGTCGGACATTGGATTGTGAAATTATTAATAAAAAATTATTACAAACCGAAGATGGCCGTCATCGAATGGACTAAAAGATTCATTTATCTCATAAAAACTTATTCGAAATCGTATAGAAATTTTTTTTTCTATTCGAATAAAAGTTTGTCGTTTAAAGACGCTTGCACAATTATTTACGAAATTTTAAATCAGCTTGGAATGTACGTTTTGTCGAAAAGTGAAGAGGATTTGGACGAAAGCGAAAACATAATTGAAAAACCCGTGGAAAAAAAGAAAAGAAAAAAAACTCCTTTATCGGAAGTAAACGGATTTGATAGCGTGGAAAAATCCAAACCTGCAACCGTCAAAAAATGTGCCTTTGACGATCCGGAAGTCGTGTCAGGTTTATTCGATATCGTAACGATTCTTTGGGTTTTACACGATATAGAATTAAACAAATCGGAAAATGAAGAAATGCGTTTAAAACTTTACGATACTTATATTAAATATGCTCAACCGTTTATCAATTACTATAAGGTTTGTTTTTATTTTGAATTTTATTTTGTACGTGGAACAAAACAAAACAAAAAAAACTACAACTTTTTCTTTTTTTTTTTTTAGAGTTCGGATTTATTTATGGGAATAATATCGTTAAGTGGAAATATTCCAGCGTCTCTTTTACGACACAACAGCATCACGCTTCCCGGATATTGTATAAAAATGTTAAAATCTGTCAATATCGAAAGAACCGACGACGAAGATCAAAGATTTGTCTGCATGCTCATGGCATTAGTCAAATGGGGCAGGGGAAGTGAAATAATCGAATTGGTGACGTTATGGTTGGATGCTGCATTCGAAACACAAAATTTGAATGAAACTGTAATTTTTTTTTTATAATGTTCTCATTTAAATTAATTCCCAAAACTTTTAATTTTTTATTTTAATTTCAAATTTTTTTTTATTTTCGTTTAGATTCTTCCGAGGAGAAAAGTAAAAATCAGCGAATCATTTCAACCCAATTCGGTCGTTGCCGTTTTAATATTGGATATATTATTTAAAAAAGAATATGCAAAATTGAGCATATTGAAAAAAAATTACGTTGAGATATTCGGCCTTTGGAAATTCATGTCCAGAATTCAAGTAAGTTTATACTCACTTTTACCTTGCGTAATTTAAATTTTGTTCGAGTCATTAATAATTTTCCGAAAAATTTTTTTTACAGAGAATAATTGAAACGAGATTGGACAAAGGGGAACCGTTCGATCAGGACATCGTATCAGATCAATTTATAAAGCTTTGCTTTCGTCGTTACGTTAAATTAATACCGCTTTTGAAGGAAGATGATGGCGGCGGCGGCGGCGGCGACGACCACGACGAGAAAAAAGTGAAAAATTCCGATGATAAAAACGAAGACGTGTTTATCAATCATCAAAAAGAAATGGAAAATTTATTAGAATGGAGTAACAACGTTCTCTACCCTCTGTTGGAAGACGACACGTTGGACGAAAGCGATTTCGATCTTATTGCATCAATTATAAACGACATTTTGTACGTGTCCGACAACATGATAACAATTCATTTGGTGAACAACATGTTTCATTTTAAAATGGCTCATTTTGCGATAAAATTATTAAACACGAAACACGGGATTCGTTTTGTAAAATCATGCAGTAGACTCATGGTCGCCATAAGTCATTCGGCAAAGCTTTTATTCAACGTGAGTGACGATTTAAAAATATTTTCACGATTGGTTCCGTGTTTGCTGTCGCACATATTAAACGTTTTGACTGCGAAAGAATTTTCCGCCCAAGAATTGGAAACAATCGAAGATGATTTGAACGTTGGGAAAACGAATTTTTGTAAAATATTGGCCACGTATCAGGACAACATAAAATGTTCAGAAAATTTAAAAGAAAGAGTCGGACAACTCAAAGGAATGACGGAAATGTTTTCGAATTGTATAATCGGTTCGGTGATTAAGGAAATATCAAGGAAAGGAGGTTCAATTCCATCGTTTTCGACGCCTTCTCAATTGCCGCAAATAGCAAGTTATTTAATAACTTTGTTTTTCAATAAGAAAACATGGACTCCTCTATTCGTCTACTCTCTCAATTCGAAATTATCATCGGATGATTGCAAGGATGTCAAAACCGTTTTGGCGTGCATTCTTTTACTGAACGTGTACGGATCAGGAGATAATAAAATCAACAGGAAAGAATTCAAGAAAACTTTATCGACAGCCGAAAAGAAATTAAATTCGTTAAAAAATTCGTCGAATTGTAAAAACAAGAAATTTTCAATGTTGCTCAACGAAGAAGAACCGATGGATTCAAATTCGAAAAATAAAGATCAAGTTTCCAATACTGAAGAATCCTCAGAAGAAGTTAACAATCCGGAAGAAAATTTTTCATCAACAGCAGAAGAACTTTCTCAATCGATAAAGAAATTAAATACTCAACAAGAAGAGACAAATAATTTGGAAGAAAGGTAAGTTTGAATTTTTTTTAATCATTGAATTCGTTTAATTAAATTTTTTTTAAGAAAAAGTAAAGATTATTAATGACAAATTTTTATTTTCATTTCAGAGAGTACATTGATCGAGGTTTCCAATTACTTCGTCAAATAGAAGATGCGTTGAATAATACGGAGGCGATTGATGAAGAAGATGAAGTGAAAAACAACTGATATATTTGAAAATGAGATTCAACCAACAAAAAAGAAGAAAAAATAAAAGAAGAGAGAAGAGAGAAGAAAAGTAAAAGAAGAAGAAGAGAGAAGAGAGAAGAAAAGTAAAAGAAGAAGAAGAAGAGAGAAGAGAGAAGAAAAGTAAAAGAAGAAGAAGAGAAGAGAGAAGAAAGAAGAAAAGTAAAAGAAGAAGAAGAGAAGAGAGAAGAAAGAAGAAAAGTAAAAGAAGAAGAAGAGAAGAGAGAAGAAAAGTAAAAGAAGAAGAAGAGAAGAGAGAAGAAGAAGAAGAAGAAGAGAGAAGAAAGAAGAAGAAGAAGAGAGAAGAAAGAAGAAAAGTAAAAGAAGAAGAAGAAGAAGAGAGAAGAAAGAAGAAAAGTAAAAGAAGAAGAAGAGAAGAGAGAAGAAGAAGAAGAGAGAAGAGAGAAGAAAAGTAAAAGAAGAAGAAGAGAAGAGAGAAGAAGAAGAAGAGAGAAGAGAGAAGAAAAGTAAAAGAAGAAGAAGAGAAGAGAGAAGAAGAAGAAGAAGAAGAAGAGAGAAGAAAGAAGAAAAGTAAAAGAAGAAGAGAAGAAGAAGAAGAAGAAGAAGAGAGAAGAGAGAAGAAGAAGAGAAGAGAGAAGAGAGAAGAGGAGGAAGAAGAAGAGAGAAGAGGAGGAAGAAGAAGAGAGAAGAGGAGGAAGAGGGAAGAAGAGGGAAGCAAAAAATGGAACGTAAGAGGTATTTAGAAAAACGTTTATATTCTTCGTATTAGAAGTACCACAAATCTACGGAGTGTGAAATCTTCTGTCGTGACGTGTCGTGACGTAATCTACCGAGAGTTCTTCGCTTGATGTTTGCTTTCGACGAGTTGCTCCTGTATTTCGTTGCGTAGCTTGGCCAAAACGGATAAAACTTCGTAGTTGTGAGAGGGAGCCATTCGTATCGACGATTCAATGTCGGACAATGCATCCGGGTAACACCTGGAATTAGAAAACGAATTTCGAACGAATTATAACCGTTAGAAAAAACAGGTTGGGGGCGAAGAGGAGGAGGGGGAGGAGGGAAAAACTTACTTCAAATCTTTTCTTCCTTTTGCTCGAGCGTAGAATGCTTCAAACGAATCCGGTTTTAAACTTAAAACTTGAGTTGCCAGCTCAATGGCTCCTTTGTAATCCTACAAAAAAATGAAAAATAAATCATGATTAATGTCGTTTTATTAATTTATTTTATTTTATTTTATTTCGCCATTTTCGTACTCACGTTCATTTTTCTTTTGCATCTCGATTGATTTAAAAGAAAATTGATCCTCAATTGATGAAAAGTCGATGAAAAATCTCCCATTGATTCGGATGGAAATTTGTTGAGAGCGTATTGATACCTTAGATCCGCTTCTTGAAGTCTATTTTTTTTATACAAAGTGTTTCCATCTTCTAATAATTTGTTCAATAATATCAACCTTTAAAAAAAAAATAATAATGATAATTTATTTTTATTTGGGGGTCCATTTCTCAATTTATTTTCCTTTTAATACTTACATTATTTCCGGTTTGCCAGAAGCCATCGCCCAAGTTGCCGGACCAAGTTTTGCACCCTTTTTTAAAAAAACTTGAACGACTTGTGCGTTTTTACTACCGATGGCTCTGTCCAGGGGTCTCATACCGTTGATATCGATGTGTTCGATCATGGCTCCCTTTTCTAACAACAGCTAAAACAAATAAAAATTTTTTTATTTTTATAAATGTAAATAATATTAAATCGTTTACTACATTAATATACACGCTTTTAAAATAAAAAAAATTATTAATTTTATTATCATTATCATTGAGATACTCACTTTAACCAAATTTTGATTCCCTTGAAAAGCAGCTAAATCCAAGGATGTTCTTCCGGTTTTATCTGCGTGATTAACTTCCGCACCTTTTTCAATTAAACAGTGAACGGTTTGAATTTTACCACGTAGGCAAGCCCATCCAAGAGCTGTTAAACCTTCTTTATCTTCTCTAAAAACGGATGCACCTGATAAAAAAAAAATTGGTTAATGACTGGATTAGGTAATAATAATAATAATAATAATTTATTACCTTTTTCAATTAGTAATTCAGTGAGTGCCACGTGTCCTTCGGCAGCAGCAATCATGAGAGGTGTTCTTCCGGCGACGTCGATCTGTTCCAATCGCGCATGATGTTGAATCAACAATTCTGCAACTTCCCAGTGACCCTCTTTTACGGCTAACATTAACGGAGAATTTTCTTTTCTGTTAATTGCAGATACGTTAGCTCCGCGAAGTAGCAACACCGTGATAACATCCAAATGACCATTAGCGGCCGCTATGGTCAAAGCCGTTTCTCCCGTAAGGTTATCCAAATCGTCCGCTTTAACCTCCGAAATATCTAATAAGTACTCGACGACCTATGCGATAAACACACATAAAATTAAATCGAAGAAAAAAAAAGAAGCTGCGAGGCAGGAGGAGTACGCAAAAAATTTAATACAAACGTTTGTGTGTCCTTGACTCGATGCAGCTATCAAAGCTTGTTGAGCAGCTTCTCTCAATTCGACATCCTCGGGCTCGGACACGACCCAATCGCAAGCCAACAAACAACTGACCACCGATAAATGACCGTTTCTTGCGGCGTGAACCAAAGGACATTGCCCTGCCGTGTCACCGTGACCGAGGTTAGCTCCCGCATTCAATAATTGTTTTACCACCTACGAATTATTTAATTAATTACCTTGTAAACTTTTTAAGGTTATACCTTGTATATGTTTTTATACCGATTCCAATATCACCCACCTCGCAATGTCCCCTCGCAGCTGCTAATGTCAGTGCCGTGCAGCCTTGACTGTTTGTTAAATTCACATCCGCGTTAAATTCTATAAGGAGCGAAACCATTTCGGTGATACCCTCTTGAGCGAAAATCATGAGTGCCGGAGCTTGTCCGAAAAATTCCGTCGCATAATTTGGAGAAGCACCCGAGAGTAGTAACAGTCTTGATACCTGTACGGAAAACCCTCCAATCATTTTCACGTCCGATAATATTAAATTTGACGTTACGTCATCCTCCTCCTACTCCTATTACTCCGCCTACCTTAACATTTGGGTTGTACAAATTTCTGAGAGATCCTAAAGACGCCGATGCATTTTCCGCACTTAAACATACCCAAAAGGCTTGCAAATCACGCGGAAATGTTTTATGGAGAGTCATGTTCCTATAAATGTGTGCTTTTAGTATGTGATGTCCCAATTCCAAACATTTATCCGAATCTAATGGAGATTGAACTCTCGATAGTCTTAGAGCAATGGCAGCATGACCCAACCTGAAAAAAACAACGTTCGATTTTCTTTTTTCTTTTCCTCGACCTTAAACTTCATAATAATCGATCATCGTTTTTTCATACCTTGAGTCACATAAAAATTTAATGCTTTCACCGTCGTCTCTTTTTAACAACCACTCCCGAAAGGATGGATGAAAGAACATGTACGTGTTATCCAATCTTTTTATCAAAAATTCAGTCAAAACCTTTATAATTGGAAAAACAAAAAAAAAATCAATAAATAAATAAAATCACAATATTAAAATAATGATGATGATAGTATATGTATGTACCTGAAATCTTTCTAGAAATTCTTCCCACGATAAAAATTTTTCTCCGTAAAGAGCATTGACCGAGTAAAAAATTTCCAAAAGTGTTAGTGGATATAAAGCGGCTAAACAAACGCTCAACAGCGGCATAACCTTTTCAAAAGATCGAAGTGTTGGAAAACGAAGATTAAAATGTAAAAGAAAAATCTGAGCTAAAGAAACTGGAAGAACCTAAAACGAAAAAAAGAACGGTTACGGTGTTTCACTCCACAAACGAATCGCAATAACGGAAAGAAAAATAATAATAATAATATTTACTTTATAACTGGAAGATTTAACGACGAGATGACCTTTTTCTAAAAGGTCCAAAGTTAATTTGGCAAATAAAAATGAACCCTGACTCAGGTTTAACAAATGATGGGAAAAACGATTTAAAGATTGCGTCGACGTTCCAACTACGACGGAACCATCTTGTTTACTAGAACCAGGTGTCACGTTATTCTGTATGTTTTTGCTGTTGTTCACTCTGTGATTTATATAATCCAAAAGATCTTTTTGCAGGTTTTCATTTTCTACAAGTTTATCCAAGCTGAAAAACAAAAATTAAATTATTCGCCCACGAGAAGAGGAAGAGGATGAAAGAAAGAAACAAACAAACAAACAAACAAACCTCAATTTTTGAAAAGGCATTCCTCTCGTTATTTCTTGCATGTGAGTTCGTACGGTTCCGACGATTTTTAACCAGTGTGGAAAATGCGTGGCAAAACGTGACAGAAATTGACTCAAAGTGTCACCGTGATCGGGTTTGTGATATTCCGCCTCGCATAAACCATCGATCAATATGATACAATTTTCTCCAGGTATTTTACCCATTTTTTGTAACGTTTTAAGTGGTTCCAATATGCCACGATTTAAAGCTAGATCTGGATTAATTATGCATTCTTTTAAAGAAATCGAACCCTAAAAACAACAACAACAACCAAACAATCAAACAATGAAGCAACACAACATAAATCATGGAAACTATGTTTGTTCTCGTTTGTAATTTGTACCTGAACATGCGGTTCACTGAGTAAATAATCTTTATACGCGCTGAGTTGAGGTGCTTGACACAATTGAGCCGCCAAAGAGTGTATAAAATCAGGTATGAGACACGTATTATTATTATCAGACTGACAAAAATGATAAGCGACAACGTGATGAGACAAATGACGGATCCTTTCCGAGACTAGATCAATTTGACAATAAATATTTTGCGACCCCGATATCGTAGGTCTATCTTTACCATTGCACATGTAAGAATCTGAAAATTTAATTTGTCGTGACTTCCGCCATTTTCGTAAAAACGGAAATGACATTTTAAAAAAAAACTTACCCTGAATTTGCTGCGGTAAATCTTTTCTCCTACCGAAACAACTATATTCGACCAATTGTAATATGATGGCGGTTTTACCGGTTCCGGGTTTACCGATGAGAAGAACACCGGGATCACTCGATCCTAATATTTCTTCCATTTTTTTTATAAGCCATTGACGACCGATGAAAAGGGGATCCGGATCTTGCGATGGTACTTCGAAAAATAAAGGTTTAAGAGTTAACTGCGACCTGTACGCAGCAAACCGAACTGAAATATAAAAAATTTTTTTTTTTCGTTTTCCCATTTTTTTTTTTTTTGAGGGGGGGCAGAAGGGGGGCTTCTCTTTTTGTCTCGTTTGTTAACTTACCCTTTGGATCCAATGGTCCCTTCACGTTTTCCGATCTTGCGGATCTCCTTATCGATGTTTTCCTATTTTTGAACACGTTCAATTCTTCCACCTGACCAGGTTGTGCGGCTATCAAATTTTATTTTACATTATTATCATTATTATTATTATCATTTAATAATATAAAAGAGAAAAAAAAAAAAAAAAAAAGAAAACCAACTTGTTACAGAATGTCTTCTGCTAATTGGACTAGATGATGCATTGCTTTGACCGGATATCGATATTGACATAAGCGAACCCATGCTTCCGGTCGATGTGTCTTTTGAATTCCTTGCATGGCTCAAAACATCAGCTTCTGACGATCCTACGATAATAATAATAATAATAGAATTCTCCCGCGTTAAAAAAAAAAAAAAATTATTTTTTATTCGTTTCGTACTCACCTGTGAGAGTGGAAACTGGACTCGTGTTATTAGATAAAGGTCGGTGGTGTTGATGGTGGTGATCGTGGTGGTGGTGGTGTTGGTGTTGGTCCAGACTGATTAAAGATGAATAAGAAGAGTTGTTGTCATTGCTCATGTGAGAAGAACCTCGATGCGATAATATTCGATTTTTGGATTGCGATAAATTCGATTTCGAAGATCGTCGGGAGCCATCACCCAATAGTAGACCCAATCTCGTATATAAATCGTTTTGAGATGATTTTTGAACTGGTCTGATGGCACATCCTTCGTCATCTAAACCAATTAATAATAATATTAATAATAATAATAAAACTAAATCGTTGTAACTTTTTCATCAACCATTATTATTATTATTCGTGCGCAAAGAGTCAAACCAAAAAAAAAAAAAAAAAACAAACAAATTTTTTCTCTGCAACTTTTTCAAAAAAAAAAAAACAAATATAAAAAGAAAAAAATGTTTGTTAGTAGTTATGACGTCACGCGAAAAGAGGCAAACAAACAAACAAAAAATTTTTTATGTCGTGCCTGGTGTTGCCGAAATACGATTTAATCCTCCTAAATTTCCTTTCAACCACCACAACGATTTAAGTTTTCCAATTACGAAACTTGACCATCTTCTATTTCCGGTTGTTGCAGTGGTTGATGACGATGAGGATGACGTCGACGTCGATGATGATGACGTTATCGTAATTATTTCTAATGAAAATTTATGACATTTTTTTTTATCTTTATTGCGTTGCGATGATGATGATGATGATGATGATGAGGGATTAGAAAAGAATAAAAAATAATCTTACCGGACATAGTGAGAGGGCTGTCGGTGTTTTCCGTTTGTCCGTTATTCGATTTTATTAATCCCCAGGGAGATCGAAGACGGGATTTCGGACTGACAAAAAATTTTCTTCTCGATTGCGACATTTGCGGTGGAGTGGGGGGACAACTTCCGGTTAATTTATTTTCCAAATTGTTCTCGTCGTTTCCAGTGCGTTGAACGTGTAACGCCGCCGGTGGTTTTATTTTAGGAAGTCTCGACGGTGATGGCAATCGACGAGAAGATTGAGAACAATCCGAACCATTATTTTGTTTTGTCTAATTAACAAACAAACAAACAAACAAACAATTAATTAATTAATTAAAAATTAAATTTTTTTTAATAAAAAGAGAAAAGGTACTCACCATTCCAAAATAAGGTAAATGTCCAGTTATTTTCGTTTTATTTTTTTTCTGTGGCGTTATCATTATTATTTTATCATCATTATTCCTTTCGTCTATTATTTCTTTTTCCCAAAATTCTTCGGACACGATTGAACCTAAAGCTCGTTTTGACGGTTGCAAACCTGTTTTTGTTACCAACATAAAAAACAACAAACAATTTTTATTATGGTAAAAAAAAAAAAAAAACTCGTAAAGTTAAATTAATTTTTTACAAAAAGATCGTTAACGTTAACTTTAACGTTTTTTTGTCGTCTGCTTTTTTTTTTTTTTAAATATAATTTAATTATGTACGTTAAAGATTTTGTATGATATATATGTTATTTATTATCTTACCATCGGATGTACACAAAGGACAGATCTCATTACGAAACATGCATGAATAACATCTTTCGTGTCCGCAGGTATCAATTAATTTCCTTTTTTTACCCTTATCGAATGGCATGTTGCAACTCGGACAGGTACCGTTAACTTCGTCGAATGATTTTTTCAAATTGTATATTTCTGTTGGCAACAAACGAAAAATTATTATTATTATTATAACATTCTATTACTTGCAACCTTTCTCCTCTCTCTCTTACGTTTACTTATGTGTGAGAGAGAGAGAGAGAGAGAGGAGAAAGATAACAATATTAAAAAAAAAATTTTTAATAATTTAATTAAAAAAAAAAAAAAAAAAAAGCAATAAAATAAATATTCCCGTTTGTTTGTTTGTTTGTTTAGAATCAATGAGATATAGAGAGATTACTATCCATAAAAAAAAATGTTTTGTTTTGTTTCTTCTGCTTTTTTTTTTTTTTTATTTTTAACGCGATAATTTTTCCGTTTGTTTTGTTTTGTTTTTAAAAAAAATATTATTTCCATAAATTTGAAAAATTTTTTCTTTCTTTTGTGGTTGTTGTTGTTTTGTAAAAAAAAATTTGCTAAAATTTATTTTATGTTTTTTTTTTTTTTTTTACCATTTCCTAGAATTACGAACGGCGAAAAAAAAAAAAATTTTTTTTTATCACGTTTGATGTTTAACACACAAACACACACACCTAAACATAATTTTACCGGTTTCTATTGTTTTACAATTTTTTTTTATTAAAATCTGGTTGTTGTTAAGTACGCAAATAATAATAATAATAATAATAATAATAAATATAATAATAATAATATTAAATTTATATAAAACAAACGTGTTTGTTATTATTATTTATTAAATGTTTTTAATATACGATTTAAACAATAAGGAAATCATTTCTTTTTTTTAAAATTATTAATACGTTAATGTTTTATATAATATAACAAATAATTTTATATATAAAAAATAAAACAACAACAACAACAATCGACAAAAAAATAAATAAATAATAATAATGATAATTTGTTTTTTTTTTTATTTTAATTTCAGTTTGAAATCAAATCATCATTGAAATCAAAGCGAGAACGATAGGGAAAAAAAATTTAAATGAAAAAAAAAAAAGTCGAAACAAATCGGATGATGATGATAATAATAATAAAAAGATTTGAAATCGAATTTTAAACGTGGGAGTAGTAGTAACAACAGGTAACAAAACAAATAAATAAAAATAAAATTTAATTTTCGTGCGTGCGACAAAGTTATGCAACAACCGACAACCATCGACAAAACAAAAAAAAAAAAATTATTATTCGATTTATTTTCGACGGTTGTGTTGTTGTTGTTGTTGTTGTACGTTTTTCGATAAAAACATTTTTCTTCTGCTTCTTCTTCTTCTGTTTCTTCTTCTTCTTCTTCTTCTTCTTCTTCTGCTTCTTCTGCTTTTTCTTCTTTTTTATCTTCACCTTTAAGGTAATTTTTTTTTCAAAATTCTAATCTCACGTCAAAAAAAAATCAAATTTTTTTTTTATCGAAAAAACTTTTCGGTTTCTTCTTCCCCTCCTCCCATCCTACCCCTCCCGCGCCCCCTCCCCCGTTTGTTTGTTTGTTTTTGGTCCTTAGGGATGAAACAAAAAAAAAACCTTTTTAATTTTTATTATTTCTTATCACGTTTTAAATGTTTTCCATCTAAACTTTTTTCTTTTTTAAATTCTGATAATAGAAAAATGATAATGATGATAATTTTTAAGGGTAAATAATTCTGTCGAGTTTTTTTTTTTTTTTTTTTAAAGTTGGTAGTACTCATGTTCGTTACCATAAAAAAAAAACGTGTATGTGATACATGCAACACGTCCGTCACTTTCATGAAATTATTTTGTTTTGTGTTTGTGTGTGTGTGTTGTAATTTTGTCGGCTTTGTAATTTTTTTTTTTTTTTTTTGTTATTTAACGAACTTATCTGACAACTTACGCCCGTCCAAACCTAATAATTTAAAAAGAAACAAAAAAAAAAAATTTTTATGAAAAGGAGTCCCCCCGACCGAGATGGCGTCAGGTAAACCGAAAATTTTAAATAAAAAAAAAAAAATCGTTACGAAATCTAATACCACGTTTTTAAAAAATTCATTACTGTTATTATTATTATTTCTCGATAGTTATAATTAGAAAGAACTTACGAAAAAAAAACTATTATTATTATTATTGTTTAATAAACACGTTCGTTCCATGTCAACCCGAAAACCAAAAAAAATTTTTTTTTTTACGACAATTTGGACATAAAAAACAAAATGTCGGGAAAAAAAATCAATTAAAAATTTTTTTAAACTTATTCATCATCATTATCATTATTATTATTATTATTATTATTATTATTATTACTATTATTATTATTAGGTTTTAAAAAATGTTTTTGTAATAGAAAACAAACAAACAAAAAAAAAAAAAGGAAATGAAAATGAAAAAAAAAAAAAATCCATTATACTTAAAAACCATAATCATTCTCGCGGACGAGAGTCGTTTAATTTTTTTTTTCTTTTTTTTTGTCGTCTGCTTGTGTTTTCCTATCTAAATACACGTCAAGTCGTATTATTAGTACTAGTCTTAATTAATGTAAACAAACGATTATCAAAAACGTTAATTAATTATTGTTTTTTTTTTTTTTGCACTAATGAGGAAACAACACAATTATGTTTTATGTTGTTACGACACATAAGTAATATAATTTCCAAAAAAAAAAAAAATTTCCCGGAACAAAATAATAATAATAACGAATGCGATCTAGTTTTTTTCATTTTGGGAAAAAAAGTCCCCTCCCCCGCCTTTTGAACTCTTTATCCTCTCCTTCTTCCGAAAAAATATAACCGTCACGAAAATTTTTTAAAAATTCGTGAACTTGAAAAAAAAAAAATTATTAATACGAGCAACGTGTTTTTTTTTTTTTTTTAAAGAGGTGAACGTTAACATTATTTTAAAAATAATTAACAAACAACCAACAACCAACAACAACAACTTTTGTAATTTTAAATAAATATAATCAATAAATCGACCCGTGAAAAAAAAAAAAAAAGAAAAAAGAAAAAAGAAAACGTGTGTTACACCTAATCTAAAATCAACTAAAATGGCGTTTTATATATTTGACGTGTCTTTAGCGAGAGTGTGTGACGTATGAATTATAATTTCGTCTGCTGTTATTATTATTATTGTCATTCGCTAAAAATTATCATTCGTTCGATTTCTAAATATTATCATTATTTTTACAAAATGACAAATTTTTTTTGGGGGAAAAAATGGAACGCATTTAACAACTTGTAAAAAAAAAAAACATTTTAATAAAATAAATTTAACGTGGTAGTAGATAAAATAGAGAGAGAGAGAGAGAGAGAAAAAACGAAGAGGTGGCGAATGAAGGAGAAAAAAAAATACAATTGACAAAAAAAAAAAAAAACCATAAACAAATTTGAAAAACTAATAAATTGTTCGTTTGTCTCCTAAATATAAAAACAACAACAAACGATTTCCTTTCACTCCAATCGAACTTTTTTTGACAAAATCAATAATAATAATAATAATAATAATAATAATAATAATAATAATAATAATAATAATAATAATAATAATATTATTGTTAATAGTTTTAAGTGGGAGTTTAACGTGGGATGCGATGTCTCTCTCTACCCCTCCCCTCCCCCCGCATCCTACTGATTCATTGACAATTCTTACACACACACAAACACAGGTACTACCGATTTCAAGGTCGTCGATACTACTACCCACGATCTAATAAATGAACCCACGCGAGTTTGTCAAAAAAAAAAAAAAAAAAAAAAAATTTTAATTTTTCTTTATTGAATCGATTCATCTTTTCCCGCTAAACGGAAAAAACGAATATAAGGTACGAAACGATTACGTCATTACGTGCCTAAAAAATTTTTTGCTGCATCGTTAAACGTACGAAACCTGATTATTTTAAATTTGTTTTTTTTTTTTTTTTGTATTACCCTTGGAGAAAATAAATTTTTTTATCTTCTTCTCTCTCTCTCTATCTATCTGTCTATCTTTCTCTCTATATCTTCTACCTCTCTCTTTCTCTCTCCCTCTCTCTCTCTTTAAATCACCCATTGTATCATGTTTTTTTTTTTTTCTACAATCATTCCGTCACACCTTTGAATACAAAAATCACGAACTACTAGTACAATCATTTTTAAACGAATATAATTATTGTTCCCGTGACGTCATGCATACCTAAAAAAATTTTTTTAACGAGTAACCCTCTGGAGTAATAAATAATAATAATAATAATAATAATAATAATAATAATGTGACACATTTCGTCACACGGTAACTTCATCATTTCTTCTTCTTCTTCTTCTTACGTCACACCATCACTAAAGTTACGCATTATTAAATTATTATTATTATTTCGTTTGTCGTAAATTATTATTTTTCTTTTTAACAAACGACGACATGTCGTTGTTGTTGTTGTTGTTGTCCTAACAATAAAACAAACGAGACGAAACCTTTTTTTTTTTTGTTTTTTTGAAATGTTACGTAATACGAGAGTATCACACACACACGCACACAATCACCTTTTCTTTCTACGGTTGTTTTGATTATTATCACGCATACCTCAACCAAGGTTTTCGTGTTTTATTATAATTATAGTTTGTACGTAGGTACCCCCTCCACCACCACCGCCACAACCGCCGCTAACAGAAGCAAACAAACCTAAACTTTTTCCTTATTCGTTTCGACATTTTTTTTTTTTTTTTTTGAAAATTTCGTCGTGCATTCCATCTTTAACTATTAAATCACTTCATTTAAAAAATAATAATAATAATAATAAAGAAAGGAATTTAGTCGATCACTTAATGCCAATATTTTTGTATCGAATAATAATAATAATAATAATAATAACGGACGTATAAAACTCATCGGTCGATCGAATTTTTTTTTTTTTTTTTTTGCGTTTTTAATTTACATCGAGGACAAACGACGACGTTTATTATTATTATTATTATTATTATTTTAACTATTAAATTTTTTTTTTTTTTGTTTTGTTCGTTCGTTCGTTTGGAATTTTTTTTTTTTAATTTTAAAAATGGC